CCACATTTGTTGACACACTGAAAACAGCAGGCACGTAGCAAACAGACCACACCGGTTGTGATATGAAGGTAGTAATGTTTTTTTGTCAGCAGAGATTTGTAAAAAGGCGCATGAAAGTAAAAGAGACGACGGAGTTTTATGTAGATTTTGAAAAAAGTGACGGAAACCACCATAAAACCGTATTTTATGTCTCCTGGATATTATGGACGTCCAAATGGAATGTTGTATGCAAATTTCGAATGATTTCCACCAGACAAAATGCAAGTAACAACACGCACCAGAGTTTCCCGAGCAGTCATGTGTTTTGCGCGAAATTTGAAACAGTTAGATCATTAACAGTAGGAATTGACGTTACTTTACTGTTTAAAACGTGTACTCATGCTAGCAGCGTTTTTGGTTTTTCCTGTATGTGGCGGGGGAAAAGGCATCGGCTAGATTAGTAGTCGCATTGCTTGGGGCCGCATAAAATCCCGACTTTTAACAGGTATGATTTCCATGAAGAGGAGTCTGTCGTTTTACAGTAGGTGCTTGTGAAAAATATTACGCTTTTAATACCGCATAAAATACCCAAGCACTCTGTTAAAATTTGCGCTTTTCCGCCTCTAGAATTACCGAGAGAGAAGGATGAACACTTGAAACGTCCGTGCGCAGGGCACTTTCGAAAGCACAAGCTCATTTTATGCTTACAAGCTCGCACATGGACCATCAGTATCCTCACAGAACTGCGCCTTTCTGCTCCGTCTAGTTGCGGTGAAAGACAGGTGCTAAAACTGTTCAAAACTAGAATTTCCCTTGTGCTTAACGTGAAGCCTAGGCGTGCCAATTTAAAATCTTTAACTCACAAACAGACATAGAATATCCTCATCAAATTTCAGCTCCCTAGGTTAACTGGTTCCCAAAATCGCTTTTTCGCCATAAATATTTGCAAACGCGTTCTCGTAATGAAGGCGTATCCAAAATTTATTTGGGGATAGGCGTTCGCACATCAGCATATTTTTGCAAAATTACGACTGTCTTTTCCCAATGAATTCCTGAGTAGATACAATGCCAATGACGAATTATGACGTTTCCGCACACGAGATGCAAGCTGACGTGAAAACTAAATTTAGAATCTTAAGCTCACACATGGGCATTCAGCTTTCTATTCTGCCTGGTTCTCAAAATCGTTTTTCCGTCAAGACTTCCCCAATTTTCAACCGTTGCTACGTGAAACCTGGGAGTATTTGAACGTTGATTTCATGGTGTAAGAATCACGTATGAACCGAGAAAATGCCCGGATGTTCTAGCTTCCTAGCTTTTCTGGTTACCAAATTAAAGACAACTGACAAAGTCCACACAAAGAAGCACACACACACAAACATACGCAAGTACACACACACACACACACACACACACACACACACACACACACACA